TTCAGTCCGAGGTTTCATTTAGAAACGTCTTTTAATGCTTACGGAATAATTTAATAACGATTTTTTTTTATTAAGTAAATTATGTTTAAATATGAAATTTATTATTTACAAAATATCCTTTGTTGCTAATATATCCCTAACTCTGTATTAATGAACTATGATTAAAAATGTCATTAAAGACAAGAAGTTTTATTGTTTATTATTCTAACTAAATTTATTTATACTATTTTTCTCACTCTTCCAATTACTATCTGTTACTTAATGTTTTTTTAATATATTCCTTTTGACTGAATGACCTTAACACTATCTCTGCTTGATCCCCCGACATATGGCCTCAAAAGATGCTATTTCCAGATTATCTTTCTAAGCATTGTCTGTTATCCTATAAAAATTTAGGATTTATCAAACGTAATGAACAAAATATGAATTTATATGGTAGTAATTTGAAAACTTAGTACTCTATAAATTATTTCTCTGTTATTAACAATATTTTTTACAATATTAAAACATAAAAAGAATTTGTTAAATTTTTAAGAAATGTTTTCGAAGAAACGTGCAAGTATTTTTCTAAGAAATTTATGATTAAAGCTAAGTAAAATATTTACTCTATTTAAAACATTACATAAAAATTTATTTAGTTAATGTAAAGTATTTATATAAAGCGTGCCTTTAACATAATAATTATAATAATTATATTTTATATTATCAAATTATCATCATATCAAATATACAAATTTCTCTAATGATATTTTTCAGGTCTTTAGGGAAATTACTTCCATTAAATTTAGATAATTAACAAAAATAAATTTAATTTAAAACTCTGGCTTAATAAAATATTGATATAAATGTCATCAATTAAGTATTTACTTATGAATTAATGTTTATTTTACTAAAAGGAAATTTTAGGATAATAAATTTAAGTTTTATTCCTTTTTAAATTAAAAGTATAAAATGTTTTGAGTTTAAACCCAAATAATTACTATATTAGTATTTTGTTATAAAAATTATTATTATTTAATAATTTTTTTTGAAATTTAATGTTATAGAAGTTATTACATTGATGGTATTCATACGCATTTACAACACTGATACTTTTTAAAATTTAAATGATTTATTTAACGTCCCTTTTAAAAAAACTATTTACTTGATACTTTTTAAAAATAAGCAATTTGAATATTATAAGACAAATAATGAAGTTAGAATACAAAATCCAAGTAATAAAGTTGAACATTGATAAAAGTATTCTTGCTATAAATCTGAATCAAACACACAAAAAATAACTTGAACATCATGAATTATTTCTTTGAAGATGACAGTGAAATGCAGTTGTTGGCCAAAACCAATGTTACATTATCTTGGGACATAAATTACAATTTTGGGTTGTAAAAGAATATGAAATGTTCCTCAGAATGCATTGCATTTACATTATTCAAAACATTGTAGATAAGATTATATATTCAACCTAATTTTTTGAATTGTTTTTAAAATAAAAAAGCATATAATAATGTATATGAATTTCATTTCAGTTTTTTTTCCTATATTTAAAACATAAATAACCCTTATAAATAAAATATGTAATGTGTAGAACTACATTATAAAACATTAACAAAATAAACTTTTATTTTAAAATTTAAAATGAATGAATCTATCTTATTCTTTTTTTTTTTATTTGTAGCAGGAAAAAAAAACATTTTAATCATTAATCAATTAAAAAATAATATGTAATTCAAAAAGTTTATTTTAATTTTTTTAATAAAAATTTAATTAAAACATTGATTTTTAATTTGAAAGTTTTTAAATTAATTTTTTTATTTTTATTTTTATTTTTTTTTTGAATAAACATGAATTATTTAGTGGTAATTATTGCAAAATTCATTTACTTTGTTATTATAAACATTAAATATCCAGCATAATTTATTAAAATAACTTTACAATTCAAAATGATTTTATATATAACGCTACTATAAACGGTTATTTTACATTCGAAAAAAACTCTTTAATCTGCCACACTATCTGCATCAGTCCTATTTATTTCTAGTAAGACACGTGTGCTTAAAAAGTAAAATAGCATCAAATCACAACAACGCTATTTTAGGATTTCCCCGTTATTTTAAAACAAAATGGCCGACTGTTTAAAAATTTTATGATGCTATATTGCGCTTCCATACAAGCATGTCCTACGCCATGTAAATTACTGTACTGCCTCCTACATATATACGTACACACTACAGTAATGTACTGTACACTATATCTACAGTAAGTGGCAGTACACGAATATTATGAGATGTCATAAACTATAAATTATATAAAATTAAACAGTATATTGTATTTAGTTTAATACATTCATATAATAATATCGAATTCATGCACAAGAAAGCGGCACTAAATGATGAAAATATTCTACTTATTACGCTATTTTAATGTAATAATTGAAGTTTTCTAAATTGTCGAGAGCGTAAACAGTAAATTATATAAAACGCTAAAATGTTTAAGTTAGTACGAATAATTTATTTCTCTTGGCGAATTAAATTCTTTATTATTAAGTGATGGTTCAAACTAGGTAAATAATATAAACACAAAGCAGATTAACAATTACATGAAAAAAAAAATATATTATACTATTCTTAAAAAGTTACATTTTTAATTTGATTCTCTTAAAACATTAATCTGATTTTAAGTCAAAAAGTAATCTGTGCAAAAGCTTTTAAAAGTCTTCCAATTTATGAATAATAATAAATGTTAAACAACATATCAGTATTGATTATGATGGACAAACAGCAAATGTGTTCATTGGACCTTACAGAAAGAAAATCTAATAGAAATAGCAAAGGATGAGATAGCATGAGTCACTTACTTCCATTTAATCCCCTCCAAAATTACTAGAAAGTCAGGAAGAATAATCATAGTCCAACAAAATTAATCAGCCAGCAAAAGCAGTTCATTAAGTTTACAGAATATTAGATAAGTTTTCTCAATAAAATCAATGAATAATATATATTAATTTATATAAAAAGTTATTCTGAAACAGAGTTAAATTATATATCTGATATAATGATTTAATTTATTTTATATATCAAGAAATTAATTTTGTTATATTAGAAGTACTTAAAATTTTCATATATGCAGATTAGTGATGATGATAATAATCATAATCATCACCACTAATCTTTATGATATTGCTGAAAATCTTAATCAGTTTTAGTCATATTTTAAATAACAATAATAACAATGCTTTTCCCATGTCTTAACTCAAATAAAAATTTGTTATAAATTATCTAATGTATTTAATCAATATATTTTTAGTATCGATTATTTCAAAGAATGACCTCGTCCTTGCATTTTTAACATTTATAAAGCATACTACTCCACCCTTCATCCTTTGACCTTGACTCTCTGACACCCTAAAATAGGGAGTAAATGGACTTGACTTACAAGTATGACTAGTTTTAATGGATCAATTTTAATAAACTTTTCCACATATTTTCAAGTGTATTTATTGGTAAATGTGCTGAAAATTATGTTCTGGCATTAAAAAAATCATCATTAAGAGATATAATTTAGAAATTTAAAAAGAGAATTATCAATGTCAGTGTTAAAAATATAGTTTAGCTTAGTTAAAATCACACTCAGCAAATATATTATTTTATATGTTAAAGAAAAAATCAAACATGTAAAAAGATATTTGGCAACTATTTTATAAATAAAAAATAAAACAGTTATCTCCTTTTTATTTTTATATCATAGTAGAATGCACTCTTAAATTTCTTATAACTTAATTTTTTTGTTTTCGTTAAAAATAAGCTAATGAATTATATGCGTATGGAAAAACGATACTGAACCGTAGCAGCTACAAAGCATTTCAAAAGAATAGTTTTGTTTATTGTACACTTTTTAATCAATAATACAAAGATCAGAAAATAAATTTATATAAAATTCTCATTTATATCAGAATATATAATTTATATGTAATGTATGTAATGAATTACATGAATTTAGATGTAATATATATATTTATCTAAAGTCATTATTACATAAGATTTTTAAAATATGAATGAGTATTGTTCGTTATATGTAAAATTGGAAAAATATTAAAAACTCCACGATTGGCTATAAAATTTCTTAAATCAAAATTAAATAAATAAGAGTTTATTCTGGTTATAAGAATGTGTAAGATTTACTTATTATGAAAGAGTCTGTAGTAGGCCTAATAAAATGTAAGCTGAATAAAAAAAATAATTTTAACTTTGAATAAAATTATTTTTTATTCAGCTTAATCCATGGACAAACTGAATTTAGGATTAGTTATTAATTAAAATTGTTTCTAAGCAAAAGAGCATATTAGGTTAAACACTTCATGGTTCAACATTAAAAAGATTAATATATAACAAATAAAAATTTAAAGGCATTCCATTAAATACATACATAATTCATTAGAAAATATTTAAAATTTATAAAACATTAGGCATATACATAGTTTTAGTTGCAGAACTTGAAAACGAGTATATGTCATCAGTTATAACCAGTTAACTTTGTGATTATTATATATTACTTTAAATAATTAAGTTATATTATTACTTATATATAACTTCACAAACAACCGAATGCCGCAAAATTGTGATATTAATATTTAAAATATAACAACAGATGATAAAATTCTCTTGGTTTTACTTACAGTCTGTTAAGTAAATGTTAATTTTTGCTTTGAAAGAAACAAATAGGATTATTTTGCCTTTAAAAACACAATAAAATGATTTTTAAGATAAATATTGAAAGTAGACTAAAATAATTTAATTTTTCCTATTTATGTAGTTTATATTCTATTTTAGAAATACTATAAATTCTAAGCAAATTGATAAAGCCAGTTTTTTTACTGTAGAGAAATGCCAATAAATTGACAAATACTTGTACTTAAAAATATATATTTCTAAAAAGCTATATAATAAGATGAAAACATCTTGTGAATTTGAAATTATATAATAATTATTTTAAACTATCTGTAGAGTCAAGTCTCCAAATACATTCATAAATGAGGAGAAAATTATAATACAGAAACATTAGCTATGAAAGCAAAGTTTGTATTAGGTAGATTATTGTAAAAAATATTTTGATGAATCATGTAATAAATTCTACTATATATAATAATTAAAATTTACTGAAAAATACTTACTTTTTCTTTTTTAGTTTTTAATTGGTCACACTTCCTCATCTTGCATATTTGATGACTACGTACACTCTTGCAGGGACCACACTCCCCGCAATTGTCTTTTTTCAGGCATCCAGGACATTCTCCACATCTTTTTCTTTTCTTCTTAGGTACCTTTTCTGGATCCTGATTCGTAGGTAAACCTGCAGCAACAGCAGAATTCATCCCTTCCCAATGTTCATTTGGAAGCGACAGTGTAGCCATAGCAGAAACACCTGGACGCGAGGTGGTGGAAGAGACCGAAGGCACTTGGAAAGTATTTTCAGCATTACCTCTCAGGTCTGCTGTGGAAGAATCAGGTTCCATTTTGAGCTGCTTTGAATCTGGGAAGCCTGTGCCTAAATGAGGCCCCATGTAAGGAATTTGTTGTGGATGGCCAGTTAGATGCATAAATGGTGGTGTTCCTCCTGAATATGGCATATTATTGTTATAAGGAGGATTGCCTCTGCTCATGTGTGTGGAAGACATTGGGTTTGTACCTGGTGGACCTAGAACTTGCAAGTGAGGGGTCATATTTTGCAGTTTATCACGATCTCCTGGATCATTTAATTCTGGACCCTCAGATGGTGCTTGTGGTCTTTCTCCTGAATCTACAGGAGAAAGACCTGAAGACATATGTGATGGTGGTCTATTTGGAGTGCCAATCCTTTCTATATTTTGTTCATTTGCCTTTTGTCCTTTTTGTATGTAATCAGTAGAATGAAAAGTCACTCTTTCTGATTCATGAGTTCCTTGTGCAGGAGTGGCAGAAGTTTGTATATCAGATTGAGCACTTGGTGGCCTTTGCCCAGTATCCTGTACACCTGGAGTAGCTGGCTGACTGGAAGGAAATTCTGCTCCTCCTACTTGTTCCCATGGCCTGTAACCTACATTTCCAGAAGGAGTACCCTCCCTTGATGGGGGATTTGAAGTTGGCACATTTTCATTTGATCTAGAATTGGGACTTTTATCTAATAATCTAGCAGAAAGTCCTTCGGGAGGATTATCTTGACTGGATGTAGTTGTTGGAATATCTGAAGAGGACGATCTAGGAGGCATCCCTTCATTTTTTGTAAAATTATTGTTTTGATAATTTGAAGCCGACGGGTGAAATGCCATATGAGGAGAAGAAAAAGGAACTCCCGACGGGAAAGGGGACGAAAAATGTGGCGCATTCGATACTTTTCCAAATAAAGTTGGTGACTGACCACGAGGATCCAATGTGTTGGATGGATGAAGAAAGCCCTGCGGTCCCGGTCCCGAATTAAATCCTCCCGGAAACAGACCAGGTCGAACAGAGTCCGATAAAGGAAAATCTGGCGGACAAGGACCAGCCATCACAGGATACGGCGAAGCTAGATGAGGTGGCGTTCCCATCCAAGCTTCTTGTCCCAAGAACGCCGAAGGACCGGGTCCCGGGCCCGGCCCCATAGATGGCGGGTGTGAAGTTGCTGGGGCATAGCTTCCAGGCAAGGCTGCAGGAACGGAAGCCTGCCTACTGCTGTCATTCATGCTCACCCTTTCATCTATTAAAAATACAAAAAATTAATTTTTTACGTCCGGTATATTTACCATTCTTACAATTAGACATACAAAATTGTTATCAAATTTTTAATAAATTGATAAAAATAACAAATATTTCTAAAACTCGAGTAAAATGTACGTTTGCGTTTAAGTCTTTTAGTTCCCTAATCCAAAAATATTTAAAAAGAAAAAAATATTTCTTGAAATCTATCAAGAAAGAGAAGAAAACAGTGAAGAAAAATTTTACTTGCGTTTTCTTCTTCTCATATCGTTTGGCTAACAATACGACTGAAACAACAGATAAGCAAGATTAGTCCCTACTACAAAGCCGCAGACAAGAAAAATTTAATATAAACAATATAATCTGAAATTAAATAAATTTCATTTTCTAACTTTCTTACAAAAAAAGAAACAAATAATAAAGATGAAATCAATGTAATAATTCCAGTTATTTTTTAATGTACACTTTCAAAAGAAAGATTAACACATAAATTTCATTGTTAATACTTTATCAATTTATTAAGAAAAATACGTTTAAAATAAAATAAAAAAATTTCTTTAAATCTATTTTATAACATATAACTAATTAAATTACAAAAAAACAATAATATATTATTTGTAATTGTTACCATTATGAGAATTTCGAACCATTCACTGTACTTTTTGCGTGCGAAATGTCGCAAGTTACGTGCGCTGTCGATATTACTAAATAAAACGTGTTTAACTTATCAATGCGATTTTTCGCACGAATTATGGCTAATTTATTACAATACAACTTTTGACAAAACCCTGCATTTTTTCCTTTCAAATCGTCGATACAGTTTTCTCTTTTCGGCTATAGCATGCAACCTAATTGAGAGCGAAGTAACCTTTAAAAAAAAAATAATAATAAAAAGAAAGAAGCAAGTACGTTTTGTCACGTCACAGTTGAGCAGAAAAGTTAGTCGTAACGTAAGCCGTTACTCTCGTCTTTACTTCCTTTTTACTCCACCAGTCGTCTGAGGGAAAACCAGTTTTTGAACTTCTTTGTTCGAATATGGGTCGGAGGATAATTAACAATAGTAAGTCACACGGCATTAAGAAAGCGTTATCGACTATTTTCAATAAATCGAATTTTTACCAATGATGATGATCGGTTTTAAAGAAGAAAACGAGGAAAAAAAAACAACAAAGGAATCGTCGATGGACAAAGAAAAATCCTTTATTCTAAAAAGAGATATCTGAATATAATCGTCAAATAAAAGAAACAACCAATTTGCTGCTATTGTCATCACATATTGGCTACACCAACTGTCACATTTTCAGACATTTCTCAGGGACAGTCTATAAAAGCAAGACTATCGTGAGAACCTGTTTGGCCTTAGGGGATGTTTAAACAGAGGAAAGACTGCACACAGTGGATTAGCAGAATAACAAAAGTTGTATTACGTTATCCCTCGTTCTCCAGAATGGCAACTGAAACACTGTAGCCATTCTTCGTGACCAGCATGGAAGAATTTCTAACGCTTTCGTTGCAAACTGGAAAAACGAGAAAAGAAATTGAAAATGGATCTCGTTTTACTCATTTCCGATTTGTAGAGACGATAACAATTGTTTCTTTACCGATTGACCAGATTTAAGTAGTTGTATGCGACACGTAACCTTTACAGTGGAATATCTCAACTTTTTTAAGCAAGACAGAAATAGCTTTTTTACCCACAAAGTCCCTCTTCCCCGATGTGGTAAATACCGTAAAAATTCAGGTACAGTTGTAATTTAAAAGAAGTAAGCATTTAGTTAACGACCAGTTTAAAGTATTATATCGATATAGGTAAATGAAGAGGCGAAAATAAGTTTACCACAAAGTACTAGTGTATACATAATATAGAGGATCAGCAATGAATGCTCTGTCCTACTGCCAGATGTGTGGAGAAACCTGACCCAGGTCTGAAAGCATTTGCTTGGAGTAGGCCAATGTACCACTTGGAGGGAGGTGGGAGTGCAGGGATGAGGGAAAAATATCCCACGCTGGAACAGGGGACCGTAAAAAAATATTCTATAGCTATTAATAACGTAAGAAAACCTTAAGTACATATTTGCAAGAAATCTTTCTTGCTCTCGTGTTTATGCTTTCTTTGTTACATTTCTCGGAGAAATACTATTAGTTTGTAATCTTGGTTAAAGAATGGAAAAAATTTAATCCAAGTTTTCTTTTCTTATTGCTTTTAATGTATAAAGAAAGATGCCAGACAAAAAAATCGATGTGGTTCCGAGTGTCTTTACTACATTGGAAAACAATTTACCCAAACAGGTAAATACGTTAATGACAAGACAAGAATAAAAATGATTAAAAATTGAATTGGCCATCGAAAATTAATTATGCAGCAGTCGGATGGAAAATTTTCATTGAAGACGACGTGACGGACGGAATCGCAGCGATTTTCATCTGTCACGGGTTTTGTTTCCAGAGGTTCGATGGATAAAAGTATCGAGTAAAGAGGCGAGTCTCGTTTCCATCGGCTAAGATGGCGGCGCTGCAAATTTTGGCATATATCGAAGCAGTCATTGGTTCAAATTTTAATCAGATAATGTAACGCGGCGGCATGTTAATTGCGATTAACGGCTGGTCGCTTCGTCTTTACGTAACGCACTTAAATAATTAAAGAAAATTGATTATAATGTGGAGAAAAGGTACAAGAACAGCGTTATTAACCATCGATCTCTACTCAAATACGCATGCGTCTCTCTCTTTTGTCAACTAACGATTCCCGAATAAAAAGGAGAAAAAAAAACAGTNATTAAGGATCGAGTTATAAAACAGTTAATGTGGAAATTCTTTTCGAGCAAAAACATTTAAAAATGATCGAACTGTTTTAAGATATTAAATCCTAAATTTAAAACGGTAATAATGTTTTCTTCGACGATTTCGAAATAAAATCTTTTAGTTTTTGTATAGGATAAACTAGATTGTTTTATAATTAAATCATGAAGTAGATTAATATTTTTATAAAATCATCAATAAAAGCCTGTACATATAATTTCCAATAATTAATAAACTTATGTAAACAAATATTTAAAAAGATATGCAGAAAATATACTCGGATAAAAGAATTATGATAAGATTAAGAAATTAAGACAAGCTCACATGTTATATATGTTACTTAAGGGGTTATATTTAGTGATCATAACATTTCTGTAAAAAAATTATCTGTGCAGAGACAGAAATAATATTTTATTGTGCCTTCTAGTTAATTTTTGCAAGAAAATAACATAATATAGTGTTATATTTACTCATATTTATTATTATAAATGCTCTTAATAATATAAAAATATAATAAATATTTGTATATAACATAATCATTTAATATATATTGTATAATGTAATTTACTAATAATTTTTTTTTCTGATTCTAGCATAAAAAAAATTATTCAAATGCTAACAATGATGTATCGTCCCTTTAAGAAAATATTGATTGAAATTTGATATTTTATCATCAAGTAAAAGTATGAATTTTTTCTTTTACTTTTTAAAACTTTCTTCTCTATTCTTGTTAGCATGACAAAATTAAATAAGCAAATAATTAATAAGTTTCAAAGGAAAAACAAAATTATATCATTGGAAATCAATCTATTTTTTTAAAAGTAATGAAATAATTTCAATCAATCAATCNCTATTAAAAATACAAAAAATTAATTTTTTACGTCCGGTATATTTACCATTCTTACAATTAGACATACAAAATTGTTATCAAATTTTTAATAAATTGATAAAAATAACAAATATTTCTAAAACTCGAGTAAAATGTACGTTTGCGTTTAAGTCTTTTAGTTCCCTAATCCAAAAATATTTAAAAAGAAAAAAATATTTCTTGAAATCTATCAAGAAAGAGAAGAAAACAGTGAAGAAAAATTTTACTTGCGTTTTCTTCTTCTCATATCGTTTGGCTAACAATACGACTGAAACAACAGATAAGCAAGATTAGTCCCTACTACAAAGCCGCAGACAAGAAAAATTTAATATAAACAATATAATCTGAAATTAAATAAATTTCATTTTCTAACTTTCTTACAAAAAAAGAAACAAATAATAAAGATGAAATCAATGTAATAATTCCAGTTATTTTTTAATGTACACTTTCAAAAGAAAGATTAACACATAAATTTCATTGTTAATACTTTATCAATTTATTAAGAAAAATACGTTTAAAATAAAATAAAAAAATTTCTTTAAATCTATTTTATAACATATAACTAATTAAATTACAAAAAAACAATAATATATTATTTGTAATTGTTACCATTATGAGAATTTCGAACCATTCACTGTACTTTTTGCGTGCGAAATGTCGCAAGTTACGTGCGCTGTCGATATTACTAAATAAAACGTGTTTAACTTATCAATGCGATTTTTCGCACGAATTATGGCTAATTTATTACAATACAACTTTTGACAAAACCCTGCATTTTTTCCTTTCAAATCGTCGATACAGTTTTCTCTTTTCGGCTATAGCATGCAACCTAATTGAGAGCGAAGTAACCTTTAAAAAAAAAATAATAATAAAAAGAAAGAAGCAAGTACGTTTTGTCACGTCACAGTTGAGCAGAAAACTTAGTCGTAACGTAAGCCGTTACTCTCGTCTTTACTTCCTTTTTACTCCACCAGTCGTCTGAGGGAAAACCAGTTTTTGAACTTCTTTGTTCGAATATGGGTCGGAGGATAATTAACAATAGTAAGTCACACGGCATTAAGAAAGCGTTATCGACTATTTTCAATAAATCGAATTTTTACCAATGATGATGATCGGTTTTAAAGAAGAAAACGAGGGAAAAAAAACAACAAAGGAATCGTCGATGGACAAAGAAAAATCCTTTATTCTAAAAAGAGATATCTGAATATAATCGTCAAATAAAAGAAACAACCAATTTGCTGCTATTGTCATCACATATTGGCTACACCAACTGTCACATTTTCAGACATTTCTCAGGGACAGTCTATAAAAGCAAGACTATCGTGAGAACCTGTTTGGCCTTAGGGGATGTTTAAACAGAGGAAAGACTGCACACAGTGGATTAGCAGAATAACAAAAGTTGTATTACGTTATCCCTCGTTCTCCAGAATGGCAACTGAAACACTGTAGCCATTCTTCGTGACCAGCATGGAAGAATTTCTAACGCTTTCGTTGCAAACTGGAAAAACGAGAAAAGAAATTGAAAATGGATCTCGTTTTACTCATTTCCGATTTGTAGAGACGATAACAATTGTTTCTTTACCGATTGACCAGATTTAAGTAGTTGTATGCGACACGTAACCTTTACAGTGGAATATCTCAACTTTTTTAAGCAAGACAGAAATAGCTTTTTTACCCACAAAGTCCCTCTTCCCCGATGTGGTAAATACCGTAAAAATTCAGGTACAGTTGTAATTTAAAAGAAGTAAGCATTTAGTTAACGACCAGTTTAAAGTATTATATCGATATAGGTAAATGAAGAGGCGAAAATAAGTTTACCACAAAGTACTAGTGTATACATAATATAGAGGATCAGCAATGAATGCTCTGTCCTACTGCCAGATGTGTGGAGAAACCTGACCCAGGTCTGAAAGCATTTGCTTGGAGTAGGCCAATGTACCACTTGGAGGGAGGTGGGAGTGCAGGGATGAGGGAAAAATATCCCACGCTGGAACAGGGGACCGTAAAAAAATATTCTATAGCTATTAATAACGTAAGAAAACCTTAAGTACATATTTGCAAGAAATCTTTCTTGCTCTCGTGTTTATGCTTTCTTTGTTACATTTCTCGGAGAAATACTATTAGTTTGTAATCTTGGTTAAAGAATGGAAAAAATTTAATCCAAGTTTTCTTTTCTTATTGCTTTTAATGTATAAAGAAAGATGCCAGACAAAAAAATCGATGTGGTTCCGAGTGTCTTTACTACATTGGAAAACAATTTACCCAAACAGGTAAATACGTTAATGACAAGACAAGAATAAAAATGATTAAAAATTGAATTGGCCATCGAAAATTAATTATGCAGCAGTCGGATGGAAAATTTTCATTGAAGACGACGTGACGGACGGAATCGCAGCGATTTTCATCTGTCACGGGTTTTGTTTCCAGAGGTTCGATGGATAAAAGTATCGAGTAAAGAGGCGAGTCTCGTTTCCATCGGCTAAGATGGCGGCGCTGCAAATTTTGGCATATATCGAAGCAGTCATTGGTTCAAATTTTAATCAGATAATGTAACGCGGCGGCATGTTAATTGCGATTAACGGCTGGTCGCTTCGTCTTTACGTAACGCACTTAAATAATTAAAGAAAATTGATTATAATGTGGAGAAAAGGTACAAGAACAGCGTTATTAACCATCGATCTCTACTCAAATACGCATGCGTCTCTCTCTTTTGTCAACTAACGATTCCCGAATAAAAAGGAGAAAAAAAAACAGTTGAATAGTCGGACATTTTGTCATTATGGATGAATGCATTTGTTTGGATGTTGAAAAATGAAAATGCTTTCTATTCGATGTTTGACACAATCGACAACAGCAGAAATAAATGTAAAACAAGTCGGTGGATAAAATTAAATAAACGCCATTTTAAAAATCCCATTTAGTAAAGCGAGAGGAGAGAAGAAAAAAAAAAAAAGATAAAAAGTTCGATTTCCGAGAAATGCTGCTAAGTTGTTCCGTCAGTACTTCAGACAATAGCAGCTCAACCTTGCACACAACTGATGGATGTGGAGAGTGCCATTGACCTGGTTTTCAGCAACTCAACTAGAGCCGAACATAGCATACCAAGTTTTGGACAGGTTCCGTCATGCATTGTGTCACTTGGTATAGAGATTGTGACCCACTTAAACAACCAGATAAAAACCACCACCACATTCGGGTCCGAAAAATCCCATTTAAATATTCCCGACGCTTCTTCGGGCCCATCCCAATAACTTTAAATTTTAATTAAATTAGCAACGTTTAAGATTTTTTTTTTCGCATATCGTTAAATCTGAAATAAAATATCAAATCGATTAATCCCTCGTTTTAATCGTTCGTAATTAAAAACGAAGAAGAAAAATTTAGATTAGAAAAGAAAATAAAAAAAGGCTTACCTCTTCACAATCAGCCCGAAAAGGCCCGTCGTTTCATATCCTAAAAACACGATTCCTCGTTAAAAACTCAGTTAAGAAAATCGGAAACGAACCTATAAAAAGAACGGGAAGTTGTCATGAGAGAGTAAAACTTCGACAAAGTCATCGACAATCTATTTCCTCGTCGGCTGCGCAAAAAGCGTGAGGCGATCCGTTACATCATCGCACACAACAACAACAAACAAAAAAAAAACGCTCCGTTACACCTCTGTAGGCCATTGCCACAGTCCCATCGGCGTTGACGGCGGCCATGATCCCATAGCCTTGAGAACAATCCCAAATCTCGAACGTGAAAAAGTGTCATGGCTGTCATAGAACGGCAGCCAGCAAACGGGGATGGCTTGTCCCACACAGCGGGTCTGACAGGAGAACCCCGTCCTCACGTCACCGTCACGTCCGTCCGAAACGAATAACGTAAAACATCGACCTAACTGAACGTTTGACCCGAGGAGAATTTTTTTTTTTTTCTCGGCACGCACACACACACTCTCTCTCTCTCTCTGTGTCTCTTGGCGAGATAAAGTTGTTGGGTGTGCGTGCCCGCTGTGAACGGACTGAGAAGCTAGATCAAGCAAACAAAGCGACAAAGCACAGGACAAGACCAAAACGCGTACGGAGCGCTTTCTTGCTTCACGCTCGACTAAATTGCAGACAAGCCATCACCTAATCGCTCCATTGTCTTATTAACGGTTGTTTTCTTACCTTTTTATCATATCATTTCGGCAGTTTAACGCCACAGCTCTTTGTCCCAGGGTGTACAGTTGCCGTGCTCCACCGTCCCAGACCCTCATGTAAATTAGCGCGCTCTGGTGGTCACGTGACGTGAGAGGGTGAATTTTTCCGGTTCCTCACGCATTCATGGCGCTAGTGTGCCCGGAGCTGTTTCCTGCCAAGCTAACCAAAGCTACTGGTTGTTAGTGAAACCAAGTTTTATGTCACAGAAATCATCTCTGCGGGACCTTCTCGCTATTTATTCAATTAAGCCCGTTCGCTGTCTTTTAAAAGAAAAAAAAAATAAAACAACTGTTTAAACTCTCGTTCGAACTATACAAAAGGTTATAAAATAAAAACTACCGAGCGACCGAAATTTTAAAAACGTAAACAAGCGTGCCGCGCGCCATCGGTCCACCGTGAGGAATTTTAATTTAAAAAAAAAAAATATTGCTTAAATGAATTAACGAGATATAAACGCTCAAAGACGATGATATTAAAGTCATAAATTTTCCGGGTGACATATTTTATTCGGTCTATTGTCATCATTAACTGATGGCTAACAAACATGACCTTGGGCTTGAACGCATCCCTGTCCACGAAACCCGGTGACACCGTACAAACGTTAGCTTCCCATTTTGATTCGCGTTTCCTACTCGGTCACGGTAGCACCGATTCTTAATTATAATTAAAGCCGTGCATAGTTATGTCAATTAGTTTGAAAATTTTTATTCCGTTTTAATTTATTTAATTAAAATATTAGTTTTGTTTTCTCCTACCAGATGGCATTAAAGTAATTTTTTTTTGTTTCAAAAAAATAAAAAAATTTACTTCATTATATTTGATGATATCATTTTAATGTACTAATTAAAAAATTAAAATTGTTCTTGACACGTATTAATCAATTAATCTTAACTTTAAAGAGAATTATAAACTTTATCTCTAGGAAAGTATTATAAAGAACGGATTTGAATAATTTTTACTTTAAATGTTAAACTAATTATAGAAAAATTACAGATATAATTAATAATAAAGAGTAAAAATAAATGTTTAAAAATTTATTCTCTTAAAAATATTAAAAAAAAATTTTTTTTTTAATGTCATCGACAAATTTTTCGAATCTTGCGCCATCTACGTCATCGACAAATTTTAGTTATGAAATTCCTTAACACTCATTATAATTTATTATATATATTTTAATAAAACTTTAATGAAATCAGAAAATAAAATTCATTCTCATAAATAATATAAAATATTAAATGCGTCATTGAGAAATTTTACGAAAGAGCGTTTTAATATTTAATTCATTATTTTGTTAACAGATGGCAGCATCCATAATAAGACATTTTTTTTTCTTTTCTTTTCTTTTTTTAGTAATTTCTGAAAGAAAAATTTTAAAACATATTCAATTAAAATATAATTTAAAATATTACTTATTAGTTTTTATCATAATAACTTTTTAAAAAAAAAAAAAAAACTTTTTAAATTTAAAATTAGAATTATCATTAATTTTATTCAAAATTAAATGAGATTATAAATTATTCTGTTCATATATCCATGAATATATAATTTATCGTATTTTAAAGTTTTATTATCGGCGATTTTTCTTAATCTTTAATTATTAAGAAAAAAAAATGAATTTTTCATTAGTGACGTAATTATACCGAGAGTGACACGTCACAAAAGAAAATAATTACACATCACTTTTATTATTTAATGATAACATGATCGAAAGGAAAAACATAATTTTTTTTTACGAAAAGATAAGAAAATTTCTAAATATAACGACAAAAATTCTTCTTCATCAATCATTCAAATCAAGAAGAATCAATTCAATTCGATTAATTAATACAGATCTTTGGAATGCGAATTTTCCTTATTAATTAATCAATCTGTACTCGGTCTTCATCCCCCCGAAGTATAATTAAAATTGAAATTCAACAGATATAAAATCAATTTTAATTATTTTAAATTATTCTTTAAATTTTAATTAAAATTAAATTAAGCAGAAATGTAATAAGAGCGAATGATATATATACTATATATTTTTTTAAAAATTTAAATTTTTTGCGCTTGTGGTGCCATCTGTTTTCGTAAATCGAAACTATTTAAATATTTACTCGCCATTTAAGTACTGTACTTTAAAGAAAACTCAGTTATAATAAATAAAAACTTAAAAAAAATTTTAAAAAATAGGAAATAATAGAAACTGGAATTAATTTCGAATTCTTTATCGTTAAGTCTTAAATTAAGCGAATAATCAACCCTTTTAAGCGAGTGTATCGCAAATAGAATTGCAAAGGACGTGGCTAAAATTCGTAAGATGTCACACATTATCTAAGTTTACTCATTATCATATAAATTATTCAAGACATAATTTAAATAATCTTAGACAATGTATACGTATGATTTTTGTATAAAATAAGTAAAAATAATATAAAACTCTCTACTTTATTTAATGCAGAAATGGAGAAATATGATATTCCAGATTTACATTTTTATTACAGAAATTTCTGTAATTAAAACGTAAATTATTCGGAATAATAATTTATTTATACCATTTCGGTTTATTTATATATTGAAAATAATAATAGTAGGTTTTGTAGGGCCTCCAGATAAGGCCCTAGATATATTTGAATAGAATAACTATAAGAAAAGTCCCGAATAACACGGTAAAATCGGTCCGAAATAGAAAACCGTACCTGTCCGTTTTACGCAGGTTTTAATGTAATAAATAAAGAAAACAGAAATATTAACTCTTCTAAGATGTTTATACTAATTAAAGTTATTTAAATAGGAAAACGTTATCATTATTTATCAGATAGAGACTTAATCTTTGTTTCCTCTTTGTCGGCACGCATTACCGATAACATTGAAACACGATCCTCCGTAATACAATGTCAGATGTCAATCTGCATATTAAATCGAAGTGAGGGACCAACTATAAGATTGGTCTGTAGGATAATTTCATAGGAGAACGTCAATTTTGGGGTATATAAAGATCCCAATCATTCGATCGATTGGCAACTACTAGCTAAAGATATCCGGGGGAGAGAGGGGGGTTGTCCTTATGATTAAAATACTACCAGGCCATATCCACATAGGATTTTTATGTTTTATTCCTCTCAATTATTTTTTTTTGAGGGGTTAATCTAATTTTACGGCTAAATTTTTATATTTTCCGACTATTTTCTTACGTATTTCGTATACAAAAAATTTAAACTAATCGCTCGTTTTTTACATTGTTAAAAGCCATTCGAAAGGCCCTTTTCGAATTTTTAAATTATTAATTAAAAAAATGAATTCGTGACGTATAAAAATACTCGAAAATTAATTTTATAAATGATTTCTCGCAGTAAATTTCGTATAAAAAAAAGTAAAATAATTTAGAAAAATGGAGTAAAAGATAAACGTGATTTCTCCAACGTGATTAAATAAAGTTTGTCTGGTTTTATACAATTAAATTATATTTAAATAATAAAATCTGTTAGGAATTTATTTTATTTTATTTATTTAATTTTTTATTGTATTATCAGTTTTGTTGATACACGAGATCACTATTTTCTGTAGATAAGGATAAACTACAAGGCATTGTTAGAGTCGCATTGATCCTTAAATAATCGATGTTTAATGAAGTGTTGTACTCTAACTGTAACATTCTCCTTACTGCTTTATTCACCCTCCTTCGACCAGTTTTAAAAATAAACTTATAAACAACCAAATAATTTATATATTTGTTCTATTTAATCCTAGCAAAAAACTATAATATTTTTCAAAAGTAATGCACATTTTTATTCGGCTTCACTTATAATTTTTTTTCTCCCTTGTTTAATCGAATAATATTCGTATAATAAATCATTTGCATCGATTTTACTCATTGTCTAATTGTGTATTAAATCTTATTTTAAGCCGGAAATGTCTTCCTGTTGGATTATTTTCGTGCCGCAAGAAAAAAAAAAATCGATATTAAAGATGATGTTTACAATTAACATTTTTTTTTTTTTTCCATACTGATAAAGTTCGTGGCTTAGATTAATGGTGTACCATAGGCCGAATGGTTTTCTGAAATTTAAATAATAATAATAATTTATACTGTGGAAGATGCTATTTTTATTATTAGTTTTTTATTTAAATTTAAGCTTAATTAATGGAACGGGAGGTTTCTAGATACGTTTTTTTTAAAATAAGATTAATCCAAAAGATAATATTTATGAAATTATCACCGGTTAAATTTGTACTGGGTGACAAATGTGTACATCTGTCGACTACCAAAATAGTTCGTAAGTGTAAATACAGAAATTTCTTCGATTGTGGAAGAGGAAAAAAATTAAAAAAAGAAAAGGAGGAGGAGGAATAATCTGAAGGATGCAAGAAGGAATAAAGAAAGAAAAGTTTTCTAGATTGTCCCGAGGCAGCCATACCGTGTTAAGAAAAAGAAATGGATGATCAAATCAAACATTTGGTTGAAATTTTCTATCGATGCTCTTTACTAAAAGTTAGAAAAGTGGCTTATGAATACACGATTCAAAAACAATCTTAAAAGTGGGAAGAGAGTGGCTAGAAGTATTTTTAAAGAGGAATAGGATTTCCATTTGTAAAGCTGGAGGGACAATTATGTTTGTTTAGTAATGGCAACGCAACACTTGGGCGATATGCCTAGGGAGAAAGGTTTTCTTTTTAAGGAAAACTGGCTCCTATTTAGGCGGAGAAAACCAGGAAAACTCCACGTCCGAGCGAGGCGCGAACTCGTGGCCGAATTCCCAGTGTTCGGGGAAGGAAGACCGCTTGGCCACTGGTGGGCTAGGGACAATTATGAATAGGGCAACGCCCAGCTGTGTCCGAGCGGATAAAACCTCTGAACGCTGGTTGGTCGTGGATTCGCGCCTCATCAATGAGCTGGCCACGTGGAGTTTTTTGGATTTTCTTTAC